GTGGGCCAACGCTCTAACCACTGAGCTGAACCAGCCAGGGATGGAAGTTTATAGTTATTGATTCAATTTCTTTCATAGATATAGGCCTGTTCAGATGATCTATTCATCCTTGTTTGAGTTTAGGTACACTGTGTCTTTCAAGGAATTGGTGCATTTCATCTAAGTTATCAAATGAGCAGGCATAGAGCTATTAATAATATTCCTTTATTATCCTTTTAATATTCATGAGGTCAGTAGTGATCACCTCTGTTTCAATTTTGATATTAATAATTTGTGTCTTTTCTCTTTTTTTTCTTGGTTAGCCTGGCTATCTTTTCAAAGAACCAGCTTTTGGTTTAGTGATTTTCTGATTTCCTGTTTTCATTTTCATTGCTTACTTTGCATTTAATCTCTCTTTTTCTTGTTTTCTAGTTTAGAGTATTAACCTTATATCTTTATTTTTTTCTAATATGTATTTTTTATAAATACATAAATTCCTAAGCACTGCTTTTTGAAAAGATGTTTTTATTGGTTTTTTAGAGAGAGAGGAAGGGGGAGAGAGATAGAAACATCGATGTGAGAGAGAAACACTGATCAGCTGCCTCCTGCACTCCTCCCACTGAGTACTTAGTCCGCAACCCGGGCATGTGCCCTGACCAGGAATCGAACCGGGACCTCTCAGTTCTTGGGATGACGCTCAATCCACTGAGCCACACCCGCTGGGCTCTAAGCACTGCTTTTGCTACATCTCACAAATTTTCAAGTTGTATTTTCATTTAGTTAAAAATATTTTTAAATTTCTCTTGCGACTTCTTTGATCTGTGTGTTATTTAGAAGTGTGTTGTTTAATCTCCAAATTTTGAGATTTTTCTATCTCTGTTGATTTCTAATTTAATTCCATTATGGTATGAGAGCCTATTTTGTATGATTTCTGTTTTTTCAATCTGTTAAGGTGTGTTTTATAGTGCAGGATGTTGTCTGTTCTGGTGAATATTCCATGTGAGCTTGAAAAAACATGTGTCAATTTCTAAATGGGTTTCACCAGCCCCAACCACCGTGTCTGCAGTGCAGCCTGCACTTCCTCTGGGGTGCTCAGGGAGGATCGTTTCTTTGCCTGTCCATTCTCCAGAGACCACCTTGTTCCTTGGCTGGGAGCTCCTTCCTCCATCTTTAATGCTCATCATTCCACCTCTGTTTCTGTGGTCACATTTCCTTTTTTTTTTCCTTTTCCCCTGGCCCTCCTGCATTCCTTTTTTTAAGGATTCTTGTGATTACATTTTCTCTACCTGGACATTCCAGGATAATCTCTCTATCTCAAAATCCTTAACATAATCCTATCTGCAGAGTTCTTTATACCATGTAAGGTAACATACTCAGGGTTCCAGAGTCCAGGATATGGACATCCTGGGTGTGGGGTAAGGGCGTTGTTCAGCCTGGTAGTCAGGATTTGACTCAGGAAGCCTCCTCACGGAACTTCTCTTTTCTTTTCAGCCTCTATACCACCTTCTACATCTGAATGTTTCCTTTACGCTTTAATTGTTTGTATTCACCTTTCCAGCCAGGATGGTCACAGGACTTACAAGCGTTTGAACCAAATGAGTTCGGGTTAAGGGAATTGTATGGAATGCCGAGGCATCAACAGTAGAGAAAATGATCGTTCTTATTTGATTACCCAGCTCTTTAAGGCCTTGTGTGTGTCTCACATTTGCAGTTAACAATTACTTCCTAATATTAATATAAATTAAATTATAAATTAAATATTAACATACGTATATGCATATATATTTAAATTTCGTAGCCTCCTGTGGCTATTGTTTTAGATAGCACAGCTCTAGTCTCTAACATTGACCACATTGCTCTTACAGTACTGTAACGCTAATGCTGAGGAAAGTGTCTGAGCCCAGCCGGTGTGGCTCAGTGGTTGAGTGTTGACCCATGTACCAGGAGGTCGCTGGTTTGATTGCCAGTCAGAGCACATGCCCAGGTTGTGGGCCTGATCCCCAGAGTGGGGCATGCAGGGAGCGGCCAGTCGATGTTTCTGTCTGTCTCTCCCTCTCCCTTCATCTCTTTCTAAAATCAATAAAGAAAAATTTTTAAAAAAATACTATGAAGTGTCTGAGATGAAAATTTTAACAACTCATGTTGTCTTAATTTTTGGATCAGAGTTAAGGCCTAAAACAATACATTTTAGAGACATTTTCTGTCATTACAGGTATTTTAGGTAGAACAAACTTGCCACTGAGTTTGTTTAGCCAGATACTCTTCTTCTAGTCACCAGCAGCATAATTAATAGTAAAACACCTTGGTAGTTTATTTTATCATATTCCTTTATTCCTAGAAGTGCTTTGTGAGAATTTAACTATTAACACAGGCTACTATAATAAAGAACTGTGCGAAACCACCTTTGGATAGTGTTTTTATTATACTGGCAAATTTAACTACATTTTTTTGCAGTTTATGTGAACCCCACCCAAACTTTAACCTGTTTCCAATTTTGATGAGGTCCAATCAGGGGAAAAAGCAACAACAAAATAATCTTCCTGTGTGGCCTTTAGATAGCAAATTTGAAGATTATAATGCATTTCTAGCTTGGGACCATAAGCAAACAAACTCTCCTACAGATAACTACACCCTTCCTGTTTGGGACTGAGTTTACTGTGGAACAGATTTCGGAAATAGGTTTCTGACAGTTGTGAATTTTATTTATAAAATGTTGGAGGGTGTGGTTCTTCCTTTAACAAAAAGCTAATTATTTCCTGTCTAATACCCTACCAGTGCATTTGAAGCAGTCTTTTTAAGGCAAATTTACCCTTTAGTAGAGGATTACATTGCTTTGGGGCAGTTCTGGTTGTTCTTGTCAACTAATGTACAGCATTTTTCTGTTTCAGTGAATAATTCAAAAGGGACTTACAATTAAGAAATAAAACATAGTCTTTAAATACTTCTGTTATCTTGTCTCCAGTGATAATATTTTACAATTTAAATGAATGTATGAATATATTTTAATATGGTTTTTACTTTTGATATGCAAATATGTAGCATATTTATGTTCTGTAAATATGCTAAATAAAGAGTTAGAGTTTAGGTAAAACAGCAGATTTACATTAAAGAATTTGCAGGTTAATTCACAGTGTAACATTATCCTCATCTAGTACATCTGTTATAAAGAAGCCTATAACATTTAGGCCACCCACAAAGTGGTCTGCTGAGGCCTGCGGTTGGCGTTAGAATGCTGCTATTATGTGGGCTGACTGGTTTGGTAAGGAATTTACCTCCACTAAGACTGAAACATCATGGTTCTGACTTTCCCCCGTGGGGGATGCATTGGCTTGACTTGGGTACTGTGTTAGACCAGTTAATATGCTCTGTTGCCTTGACATCATATATAATATGTGAATGGTATACTGTTTTCTGTGTTGCTTTATTATCAATTCTGGGTCATGTAAATCTTAGGATAAACTGGAATAAATGGTTGGCTTAAATAGCTGAATTAAACTTACTTGCTAGTATAAGTACATTTCATCATTATTTAGCATAAGTGTGTGTGTGAAAGCAGCTAAGGGCTTTATGTATTTTAATTTCTCTATCATTTGAAGAACTTCATCCTATTAATTTCTTTTAGGTTTATGAATGGTTTTCAAGAGCAAGGACATGAATTTAATATAATTTAGCAAGACAGTAGTGAGAATCAAAATTAAATATTCATCTTTAAATATCTAGAAGATTACTGATAACATATTTTTAAGGAATCAAATATTGTAGCCATTTAAAAAATACAGTAACAACCACCACATCTAGCAGTGATTGAGGAATAAATACTATCATAAGGCAAGCAATATCTCAAATTTAGTTTTCTAAATGAGCAAAATTCTTTTTCTGAGAATTAACATATTATGTTGTTCTTGTTAAATTTAGAAAAGTCAGAATAATAGTTCTTTTACATCAGATAATTTGTATTTCACTTAATTTTTATGGAGAGTTAACTAATTTTTTTTAAATACATGAATTACAAAGTATGAAAAATAAATCTAAAATTTATTTTGTGACTACAAATTAAAGAAATGACATTTCCTTAATAGTGTGGAGAAACAGCAATTTTTGGACAGGAAATAACATCTAATTGCCACTGATAAAAATTATATACATATTAAAGTAAAATATAAACATTGAGGTAGAAAATATGTACATATGTATATATAATATGTGTGTATTTATATATACATATGTGTGCACACATGCACAACCATGTGCATGTATAACATTGTTTTGATCTTAACTCTGCCTTGGTGAATTGTTGTTTTTTTAAATCCTCACCCGATAATATTTTTCCATTTATTTTCAGACAAAGTGGTGGTGGTGGTGGGGGTGGGAAACATTGATGTGAGAGAGACACATTGATTGGTTGCCTCCTGCACGACCCCAATCAGAGCCAGGTATGTGCCCTTGACAGGAATCGAACCCATGACTCTTTGGTCTGGGTCTAACTGCTGAGCCAAACCAGCCAGGGCTCTGACTTAGTGAATTTATAGTTTTTATAACTTGAAAAGTTTTTTCAAATAGATGCTTTAGGCATTCTTATAGTTGTTTGTTGTATACTAAACAGAACTTTGAATTTGTCATCTGGTCATAGTTCAAACAAATAATCTGAAGTTGAGGGCTCAGAAATTTATTTCTTCCAAATAAGAAAATGAGTAAAACCATTAATGTGCCTTACCTCACTAGTCTTTGTTCCTAGCCCTTTTACCTCTAGTCTGATGTCCTTTTTGTAGACTGCCTTTTACATAACTTCTACAGTTAGTGAACTGGTATAGCATTGTTTTTCTACACATTGAACTTGTCGGCAAACCTCAAAGATAGAAGTTAAAGGGCCTTTGGTAACAGTGACTACTCAGGGCCAGCAGAGGTTCAGCTGTATTACTGTCTCCCTTTTCAACTTGAGGATCATACTTCTGCCAACTGAACGAGCTCAATCTTTGATTATTTTCACTTTTAGCTAACTACAATGTATTTCACCTTTCTAGGTTTACCGACAAGACTGTGAAACTTTCGGGATGGTTGTGAAAATGCTGATTGAAAAAGATCCTTCATTAGAAAAATCCATACAGTTTGCATTGAGACAGAATTTACATGAAATAGGTGAGCGGTGTGTTGAAGAACTCAAGCATTTCATTGCAGAGTATGACGCCTCTAGTCAAGACTTCGGAGAACCTTTTTAGACATTTACTTGCTCAGGCAAAAAGAATGGGTCTAGATTTTTTTTTCCCCCTGGATTGTGTAAATCCTTAATATATGGATTTTTGTGATGAAAGTAACTACTTTATGATAGTTGACCACCTTTCCAATATCAAATGAACATCTAAAATAGTGTTAAGATATTTTAATTAGAATTTGTTTTATCTACATGTAGAGCCTCCTAATCCATTACTTATCTTTTCCCCTCTACAGTGATGGGTCAAGTAAGGTTTCGAGCCCTGGAGAACAGCTCTCTGTACTTACTCCTGTTCTGTAGTCTTCCACAGTATGTGATCATTTCATTTGGTCACACTGGTGTAATTTTTAGAGGTCATTCCACTTAAACATAATCTTTTTTGCATTTCATAGTCAATGATACCATGTGAAAATGTTAGAATTCTAAATTGTGATCTTACTGACTTGTTGCTTGCTTATCTTAGGCTTTGTACATTTTAATATGTTTAAGTATTAGATCTAAATAAACTGAATACTTTGGTATCTTAGAGAGTATTTGCTTTGAGTATACATTCTCATTGTGGTAACTAGAGCACTTAAATCTCTTAAAAGACACCTCACAGTAAAATCCTGTTTCTCCAAGTAAATGAACCTAAATTTCTTCTATTAAAATCATCCTGAAATTCTTGTGTCTTACACAACATCATATATAGGGAATTTGAGGTGAAAGATGAGGGCTGTTTTAAATTTCTAGTTGAAAGAGAAAAATGTAGAATTTGAGGGAGTAGTAGAGCTTCATTTTTTCTGTTGGCCCATATTCTCCATCTCAAGAAAGGTGACTGAGAACATATCCATGATTAAACCATTTACCGATTGTGCTTTTGGTAATCTCTTTGTATTCCAACGAGTTTTTTGTTCTGCTGCCCTTTTAAGGGGGTTCTTAGCCCTTCAAAAGTGTTCTTGGAAGAAACAAAGCGGAGTAGATAGTAAGCCTAGCACAGCTACCTTTCACCAAGCAGTCTATGTAAACCGTCCTTCGTGAGCTAGCCATCCAAGTAACAGGTTAGTTCATCTAACTGGGACATTTAGGATATTCCACTCATTCCCTGATTACGTCCAGCTGCCCAGTGGCATTAAGCCAAAATATGTAATTTTGTGGCATTACTTAGGAAACCTTTAAAATTATGTTTGTTATTACTATCCAGTGTATTATCCTCCCATCCTCTTTCCATTTCCACTCTCTGCTCACTTGAATTATGGCATCATTGCCTTTATTGATACTATCTTAACAGCTACCCCAGAATAGATAAACATTTTATGAAATGTGGAAATAATTTAAGCAGACCCTATAATAGGTACCTCAAAATATGTATTATGCCATTCCACAGATTTAAAATTGAATTGATGGCAACAATTATTTTCTTAAGTTTCCTGTATAAGACCACCTTGAATTTTTATTTTTGCCATTAATATGTAGTACATAAGCCAAAACTCAACCCCATATATCATCTCTGGTATTCTTTTCTAATATGAACAATGATTCTGTTTGTTATAACCACTGTATGAAAGACTAAAAGTAGTGATTTGGTTTCTCTCCTGCCCTCATGTTTTTCTTCTCCTTAAATGTTTTAGTTCCAGGATCCATTTTCTTTAGTCAAGATGTCACAGTTTAAAAACAAAAACAAAAAACTTGAGAAACTACCATGGAGGCAAAAGAATTGTTCACTCTTTTGAAATTCATTACATTACAGAGCTTTTACTCACAGATGCATTTAAATGTAGGTTCAGCAGATATTTTTTTTCTTCCTCCTTCCCCCAAATTATACTCAACATTTAATGCTGTTCATAGCTTGCCATCAGCATTATTTTGATAGGCTCGTCAGTGTTAAATCTGTTTTTTTTAAAGCTTTAAAGTCTAATTTTAGGATAGATTGATTTAGATGTGTACCAGAGTGTGTATTTTGCAAAATGTTCTTCATTAAAAAAATTTGTTTATAAATTATCCATTGTTTTTGAGTATGCCCAATTGGTGTGATAAAATTTTCATTGTCATTAAAGCCTTGATGATCAAAAGGGGAAAGCTGATATTGTGAAGCTTTTTGTGAATTTTTAAAAGTGCAAAATAAAGCAAACAGGTTTAAATAATTAGATTGTCCTTTTTCTTTTCAACAGGCTTGAAGTGTTGCGCTGAAATGTAGATTTTTATTCCTTTCTATTGCAAGATTACTCCTTTGTGTTCAGTTCACCTACTCAGCAGAATGGAGGAAGTTTGAGAATTGAGAAACTATTACCTTTGGTGTCTTAGGGAGTCTTGGTATCTGAGAAAGCAGTGAAACAGAGCATCGAGCACGCAGTAGTGCCCAGCAAGTGTGTAATTATGAACCCGAGTTTCAGGGAATTGCAGGATTAAACTCCTACGTCTTTATGGTGACCTCTGGAGGGCTCAGGGACCACGCTGTCTTTGTGACCCCCATTCCTAGCATAGTGTGGAATGTTTTGTTTTAGGTACTCACATTTGTTGAGGCTTCACAGAGGAAGTGAAAGTTGACCCCTGGGTCTTGGAGCAATAGGATTTATTCAAGCATTAGACAGTCAAGGAGGAGGGAATAGCAGAGGGACTGAAGCAGGTCGGGGAAGATTCTTGATGGGGGACAAATGTCACTTGATGAGAAAAAGGTAGGCTGAGAGCAGAATGTGAAAGGTTTTGAATGCTTGTAACTGTCCTTTCTCTCCTACTTAATGAGGTTTGGAAATAATACTTTTGTATTTATTCTTGCCAAAAATGTTGATTTCTCACATACCCTGAGCCAGGTCCTAGGCCCAGAACCGCTTGAAGGTAGGGAGGCCAGACCCCTGTGAGAAAGGACTCTGCTCCACTGCCAGAATGTTGCACGGTGCTTTCAGCTTCATTTTGGTTTTGTGCCAAAGATCCTCAACCCCAAGACTCTGACAGTTCTTTGGCAAAAACTTTGGAGACAGTGGTCTGGTCATCCCTGAAGTATTCGTAGTGAACATGTTCAGTGTTGCAGGATACTGGCCACGCAGTGGCTGTCACGCCGCTGAGGCTGGGCCTGGAGCTCCTGCAGTGGCCACCGCGCCGCACCGGGCTCCTGGGATACGCACAGTACTTCAGCATCTCCTTCCTGTCAGTTCCCTCGAGAGCACTGATGGTACCCAAGTCAGTGATACAAAAAAGAGGGACTAGTAACTGAGGTAGTTAGAGTATATTATCTCCTTTTTCCAAGGTAATGGAGTCAACATCGAGTCACACAATTGCCACATTAGGACTATATTTGTTGTGTTCCCCTTGCAATCAGGTGTGACCAAGTTAGACTGAGTTCTCCTGCATGGAATTTGAGCGGAAGTACTGCTGCTTCTGGTGCGGGGCCCTTAGGCCGATGGCTGTGCCTCCTCCATGCTCTCTTATCCCTTCCCGAACGGTAGAAGTAGCAACCCAGCCTTCATTCATGGCAGAGTGTAAGAGGGAAGGAGCCCGATCCCTGCGTGACCACATGGGGTGTTGATCTGTCGCATGAAAGAGGAATCAGTGTCTTTATTGTTTAAGCCACATGATTGGTTTCTGGTTAGCTCACTTGTGTTCAAATGAATCTAAATACAGTTGAGGGTTAGCTTCACCGACGCTGCCCCTGGCTGGCTGCCCTGGCCCCACATTTCCACTGTACCTGATCTTGGAGTAGTGGGGCCTGATCCTGTGAAAGGCCTTGCCAGTCCACTGAGCTTGTTTCAAGTGTATTTGAAATGTCACTTGATGAGAAATATCATTAAAGCTTCGTGCACTTTGGTACAGCAATAGAGACAGCTTGATTCTATAGCACACTGATTTTTGAGCTCTGCTCCCACAGATTAATGGTGTTCTAATGATAGACCATTGTCACTAAAATTGTATAAGGTTTTAAATTGTCTTTCACATTCATGTGTGTGTATGTGTGAAATGGTACAGGTTTTTTGAAATATAAACATTCAAGAACATGTAAAATAACCAGAATATAGACACTTGCTGCGAGGGGACGTCTGTCCTCCACTGCCTGGGTGACCCGTGCGCTGTCGCCTTTTCCTGCCTAGAATACATAGAAGGGTGTGTGGCCTTTGGGACTGCATCCAGGGCCCTGTTTCCGGGGTCACCTGCTGGCACTCACAAGCTCTCTGGCTGAGACCCTGCCACTGCCTGAGGGCACCGAGGGTTCACAGAGGATGAGGCTGGGCAAGCTGCCTGGAGAAGGAGAGGATCCAATGACGGCCTCTACGTCCTCCATGTGGGAAGAATCCATCCTTCGTGAGCAGACTCTGAGAGAGACACTGGCCCAATGTCTGCGACACCTTTAAGTCAGCCCAGCTCCAGCCAGCTGGGCTCCTCCCTGGCACCAGATCCCCAGAGGCCTTCTCTGCCCACACCCTGCTCTTGTCTGGTGGTCAGGTGAGGAAGGCTTCTGAGCCGGAGAGGGGCAGCCCCGGGGGTGGGGCTGTGGGGCCAAGGCTGGGAAGGATGGAAGCAGGTGCGTCCCTCAGAGCGCAGCTCACACGCCGGTGTGTTTGGTGCTCAAGCTTCCGATTTCCCTTTCCTGTCCTAGACAGGACTGCGCGTCAGCTGTGCCAGGGGCTCGCCCACAGGTCTCCCTCCACTGCAGCCCAGGACGTCGCCGTGGGTGGTCTGAACGCTGCAGGGCTTCCTCAGTTCAGAGGTGGTCTTGTGTGAGAATCCCCTTTTCTTTACAACACGGGAGCAACCCGATGGACCCCGGGTCTGAGAGGAGAGACGGAGCTCTCTCTGCATCTCGTACCCCTGGGCAGCCTGGTGGCCGTGGGCTGTGTGCCCTGCCCGTCCTGAGGTGGGGCTGTTGAGTGAGGGGGACATCCATAACGGCTAAGCTGGGAACGGTGCTGGACTAGCCCCTCTGGAAGGAATTCCCCATTTGTAAAAACCTTGTCTTCAGGAACTTCTTCAGAGAATTTAGTGTACCATATTGGATGTAGCTTACAATGTATTTCATGTTTAATATACTAAATACTTTACTCAGCGGTTCTCAACCTGTGGGTTGCAACCCCTTTGGGGGGTTGAATGACCCTTTCACAGGGGTCGCCTAAGACATAACAGTAGCAAAATTACAGTTATGAAGTAGCAACGGTAATAATGTTACGGTTGGGGGTCACCACATGAGGAACTGTATTAAAGGGTCGTGGCATTAGGAGGGCTGAGAACCCCTGCTCTACATGATTTTGAGAAGCACCATGTTTTCAGTTATTTCACTATCTGAACAAGGTGAGAACCACATTCTAGTGTTTTTTGTTTCAAACATTTTCCCATGTAATAAGCTGATGGGGATTTTTTCTCATTTTACATTCCAGGGTAAGAGAAGTTAGAACTTGCTTAGGGTCAGATAGCTGGAAGAGGCAGAGCCACTCAGATGTTTAAACTCTAAACTCAGTGTTCCTGGAAAAAGTGGAGAAGCCTGGTGGTTACTTTGTCTTCAGTTGCTGCCCCTTCAGTATCGGCTCCTATGACTTCTGCTTGGAGCTCTTTTAGAAAACACCTTTGAGGGTCGTAAGGGGTAATTGTTAAGGGGCAAATAGCATTAGGATTACAGCCCCTGTGGCCAGTGCAGCTGAGGACGCAGCGCTCCAGGTGCTGCACCTGGACCCTGTGGAGTTGGAGAAGAGCCATTTTAGTGGAATGAACCTGGTAATTCAACTCTCCTATTCTAGGAACCAACATTAATTAAATATAGTTAACACCTTTTCAGCTTTGCTTACAACATGTTCGGAGATTCCAGACCAAGATTGCTGCCAATAGCAGTCCTCTTGAGATGTGGAAAAAAATCTTACTTTTCATCCTGGTACTTAGGGAGAAATAAGAAGGGAGAACAGTATCTTACCTTTCACAGAACTCTGCAGCCTTCAGGTTGTCTAATTAACGAAGCTAGTCAACTTGAAGCATATGCATTCTGGGGGCAGAAAATCTCCAAACTTTTTCACGATTTTGTTTAACCTCTCGCTCACTCAGAATCCCAAGCATTATTGTTAAAAAGCACCAACTCTCTTTCGAGTTTCCTGCTCCTGTGAGCCCTGGTCTTTGGAGGGATCATCATTGCTGGAATCCTGGCCAGACAGATGTGTTGGTAAATGAAAGAGTCAAAAAAGGGAAACGACACTATGCTGAGTGGGAAGCTTCTTCTGACCTGAAAAATTCAGTCTCCACAGAACACAAGCTGGAAGCAGGCCTTGGAGATGGTCCGGCACTCTCATTTTACAGAAGTGGAAACTGGGTCAGAGTACGCCACCTGCTCGAGTCAGAGAGAGGTGAGTCTCCCAACCCAGATCTCCTGACTCCTGGAATCCAGGATGCTTCGCACCGCTCCAAGGTGAACTCCGGTGGTGGGTTTATATTAGCATAGTAATCGTCTTTCCCAATGTCAGTTGCTTGGTTCATTTATATAGAAATGCTGCAACAGGTTAATAGCATGTAGGAGACCTGGTTTCATATTCTTAATGGTACTAAGTTGTCTGGAATCAAATGTTGCCAGAGAATGGGCTGCCAGTTACTTCTGGAGTTGGCACAACAGCGCCGGTGCACACAGAGCAGTACAGATGTGAAATTTCCTTTGCAAAAAGCAACGTTGAGGCTAACATGGACCCTAAAATGGGAATTCTAACATCTGTTTACAAAGAATAAACTGGCTCCAGTCCTGTGATCAATTCTATCTACACTCAATATCTTTTCCTCCACACTTCATTTTGTGAAAGCCACCCTTAAACTGTATTCCCCTGGAGAAGTTCAGGATTTTATGCCCTCAGAGGTGCAAAATTCAGTTAGCTGCTTGTTTCTCCTTGGCCCGGTTGACCTGGACGCCCTGCTGATGTTTGTGACTGCAGAAAACCCATGTGGACTGCTCAGGGGATGTCTCCTCTTTTTAAACAGATCCAAAGGACCGGTACGGAATCTAGGCAATTAGCAATTCTTTCCTTTAACCAATTAAAACAGATTTTTATCATAATTGTGTTACTAATTGAATTGATAATAAGACTCTTAGTGTAATTTTTTTGATCCCATTTTCTTCTTTGTGTATCCAGGAAAGGTCACATGTATTTCTGTAAACAGTCATTAGTTGTGCCTCCCCTGGACAGCTCTAAGGTTTAGGGAATCAGCTCCAGGCTCCTGAATCTACATCCTGTGCACTGGAGACTTGCTGATGGCAGGCTTGTTTTGTTGAAGTGTTTCAGAAATGTTTGAATTAGCTGCTAGTATTCTAAAGCTGGAGTAGTACACTGTTCGAACAATCTGAAGATCTAGCAACCCGGTTCTCCTTCCCACGGCAGCAGTCCAGTGTCCCCACGAGAGAAGCTCAGTGAGCCAGAGTGTGCCCCGTCTGTTAGTCGAGCCTGTACTGAAATTTTCTGGGCACTCCTGAGGTATGTCCACACCAACATTTCCATGTCCCGTCACCCGAGGACCCAGTCGGGCAGGGATGTGTACACAAGTGGACATCTAGTGGTCATGAGAGCCTGTTCCAGTGTCACCACCCTTTTAAGGGCCATGATTCGTATGGGAATTCAAAGGGTTAGACTACAAATAACCTTTCACTTCTGAAACTTTTTATTTAACTCCGGAACTAGAAAGCAGTGTCAAGAATAGTAAATGTAGCCCTGGCCGGTTTGGCTCAGCGGTTAGAGCGTTGGCCTGTGGTCCGGAGAGACCCGGGTTTGGTTCCTGCTAAGGGCATGTACCTCGGTTGCAGTTTGTCCCCGGCCCTGGTTGATCGTGCGGGCGGCAGCCACTCGATGTGTCCCTTTCACATCGATGTTTCTCTCTCTCTCTCTCCCTCCTGCTCTATCTGAACAAAGAATGAAAAAGTGTCCTCGGGTGAGGATAAAAAAAAAAAAGAATAGCAAATGTATACCCAAAATGAATCATTACCTTTTAATGAGAGCTAGAAGAATTTTAGGTTGGTCTGGGTTTCACAGACCATAGTAAAGCTGTTGACTGTGCCCACCGTGCAGGACGGATGGCACTGGAGGAGGGCGTGCCTCCGCACTTGACCGTCCGATGCAGACTCTCGTGGACAGGAAGCCACTGTCAGGACAGTGTGGAGACAGCTGGTCTCCTACGGGCAGCGGTGTCAGGCAAGGGCACAACTGTCTCCCTATCTGTTTAATCTGTGTGCAGAACATACATGAAGAACTGGGCTAGACTCAGGAAGAAGTGAAAATTGGTGGAAGAAATACCAGTAACTTAATATATGCAAATGACAGCATCCTTTTTGGCAGAAAGTAGCAATAATTTGAAACTTTTGATGAAAGTGAAAGAAAGCGCCAAAGCAGGACTGCATTTGAACAGCAAGGAGATACAAATCGTGACTACAGAAGAAACACACAACTTTAACACAGAAGATGAGGACAACGAAACTGTTAAAGAGTTTGCTTATCTTGGCTCCGTCATTAATTCCCATGGAGACTGCAGCCAAGAAATCAGGAGAAGGCTGAGCCCCGGGAGGGCAGTGGGAGAACTGGAAAAGATCACCGAGAACAAAGACGTGCTGAAGATCATCCACACCCTCCGAGTGTCGATGGCTACGTCCAGCTGTGAGAGTTGGACAGTGAAGGAGGCCAACAAGGCGACCCCAAACTGCCGGGAAGACGAACAAGTGGGTCCTGCTGTGACTGGAAGCAAAAAAAAAAAAAGACAAAACAAGCTGTCCTACTTCAGGCACATCAGGAGAAAACGGGGTTCTTTGGAAAAGACAACAATGCTAAGGCACATGGAGGGCAGCAGGAACACAGGAAGACCGCATACGAGATGGGTTGGCTCCATAAAGGCAGCCACGGGCATGTGTCTACAGGAGCCGAGCAGGGCTGTTGTGGGCATCTCTCATTCACGGGGCGCCAGGAGTCCGAGCCAGCTCAGTGGCACATAGCACACAGCAAAGGAGCTCCTGTTATTTATCAGCGTCCTCCATGTCTTAAGCAAAATGTTCTCTAGTTTGGTCTGAAGTGAGGAAAATGCAACCATTAGAAATTACAGGCTGTTTTAATATCTGATATTTATCTTGGGACCAAAGTTTAGAGTTTAGTGACTGACCACATATTTTACACTCTTGTTAAATCTATGCACACCTTTTAGCAACTGTGCTTAATTTTCTTGCCAATTCTTTATAGAACTGCAAGGCAGTTGCTTCACTTCCTTTGTAGATAAGCTTTAAAGGTTACATTATTATTGTTAGTAAATATTTCTGCCATTTCCTTAAGCCTTTGGCACTCTAACTCTTATAAAAGGAAATGAAACAATGAATAGGGTGAGAAGTAAAAGCAACTAATTTTTTGAAAATGACTTGAAAACCGCTGAGGACAGTGGCTTCATTTATACCCTCATTTGCCTAGGCTGAGCATTACCTGTTTGTTATCCATCCTTTATAAGCAACAGATAGCAACAATCTTTACTAAAAGGATACCCACTCTGCAGCGTTGTTTCAAAAAGGTTTTCAAAATCAAGAAATGTGTTACAATGTTATGTGAGATTATGATGGAGTAAGACTCATACATTGATAGTGGCCCTGGCTGGTTTGGCTCAGTGGTTAGAGCGTCGGCCGGAGAGACCCAGGTTCGGTTCCCGCTAAGGGCATGTAACTCGGTTGCAGTTTGTCCCCGGCCCTGGTTGGGTCGTGCGGGTGGCAGCCACTCGATGTGTCCCTTTCACGTCGATGTTTCCCTCCCTCTCTCTCTTCCTCTCTCCCCTTTCCACTCTATCTGAACAAAAAATGGAAAAATATCCTCGGGTGAGGAATAAATAAATAAATTACATTGATAGTGTAAATGTAAATCAGGATAAGTTCTTTTGGAGAACTCTTGACAGCCATAAAATTTTTAAATGCATAACCAGATGCTTTAACCTCTGTCCCAGTAATTCTGCTCAGAACTGATGTGTGTATATACGTGCCAGTGCAGGATAAGGTGCCTATGAGGAAATTCAAGTCCATCACCAAGGTTGAGAATTACGGTATATCCAACGATGGAACATGATGCCGTCATTGAAAGAATGAGGTAGACCTATATGCACTATGAAATGTCCACATACAAAGTGAAAAAAGCCAAACCCAGCATGTATAGTTTGCTACTGTTTTTAAAGGAGGCATGTTTATGTAAGGATGCTTTAACATCTGGAGGATACACTAGGAATGGATAACTGCATCTGGGGAGGGGAACTGAGGGACTGGGGATGAGGAGTAGAAAGGAGATACTTCGCTCTTGCTCAGATGTGTTTGCCATGTGCATGCATTTCCTTTTCCTTGCTGATATGGCTTTAAGTGAACTGACCAGGGAGCTGATAGAGTTGTTGTGTCAAGCGCTCTCACCAGGGGTGATTTCTGAAGGGGCTCTGTGTAGCCCAGATACAAAGCCTTGTTGTATCCAGGGAATGCTCTTGACCACTGGTTTACCTATTGGATTCATGTTGCTCGCTCATTCCTAAGGCCTAACAGCTTTTCCCCACTCCAGTAAACATGGACATCTGTGCCTCTATTTTATAAGTCCTACTTCCCACCTACAAGCAGAGGCAGTGGGCATGCAGGAGCCAAATAGTCTGTAAACAGCAGAATAAATCATGCGTGAACACGGGCCAGGAAGAAGTGGTCTGGATGTGTCTGCAAACATTTGTGTTCAGAAAGGTAGGGAGTTTATTATTTATTGTTTATTAACTACCTTCCGAAAGGGTCCCATTTACCACTAGGACCTTAGTTAGGACTGAAATGTATGTGCAAGAATTGCCCATACCAAAGTATCAGCTCATTAGTTCAAATCCAAGATAATTTGCCCTTGAAATAGAACCTCCTATTAAGATGAAGTGGTCAGTGGTACAGCATCCTCTAATTTAAAGATTTTAAAAGAACAACATAATCAGAAGGCCCAGTTTTCGAAATTGCTGCTAAAAGCCAACAAATTAGCTGGAAGGGAGGGATGAAAAGGAATAACCTCTCTTCAAATAATAAATCTACAAAGTCCTCTGCCACAAAGAAAAAAGGCAGAGCCTTGTAGTTTTGGTCTCTTCCCATGAGATAATCACTACCTTGCCAAAACTGGGAAAGGCACCCCCCCACCTCCCCCCCAAACCATCCCCAAGTGGGGAAAAAAAACATCCACTCAAACAGTTTCTACTTGTTTTTACCATATATTCCAGGGGTCTATATGGGGTTTTTTTTTTTTTTTTACATTTATACAGTTTACATTGCTTGACCCATAAATAACACTCGTAAGATTAATAGGGCCATCGTTTTAACGAATATTTACATAGCCCCACCATGCATACAGAGCCTTTTTAATATTGAAAAAAATTTGAACTTTCCATCACTAGGCAATATAAATTTGACCATCTAAACTTATAAGCCCTGACTAAAATACAAGCAATCATTCCATCCGTAAATGCTGTTTCCGGTCCCCTAACGAACCTAGCAGTGTAACAAACACCTTGCGATTCAGGGATATAAAAATATCAGCTTTAAAATCTGAACTGTACATTATGTACATTAATATTTGCACCGTTAAATTAGGAATACACTTAAGTCTATGAAATACTACATTATAAATAGCAAAGTTGGTTTTTGTTGTTTTCCCAATCTGTAGCTGGAGCTAATACAATAATACAATGTTTACCTGGCTAAGGGGGGCTGCGGGGGGATGAGGGGCCTCGTGGGATGGCACACAGTGTTGGCTGGGTCAGTGTGACTACAGGCATGCCGCACAGCCAGACAGCCCGATCGGGACCTGGGCCAACCTGGCGCGGACTGACGACAAACACTGTTGCTTTCCAAAGGTGGCCGAAGGTCTCGTTGTCTGGCATCAACACCCCTGTCCAGTCACCTTGCGGCAGTTTCTCGAGGCTTCTCTTGCAGACTGGAGACCAAAGCAGCTATGTGAAACTATGACGCACCTGACTGGCACCATCCGAGGAGGGTACACTGCAGAAACCACACCTTCTGAATGTTAATCTGACACTGTAAACAGTGGTGGTGGGGTGGGGGGCTCATTTACATGGGCAAAGCACTTTAAACTATTTTAGCAACTTTCCTATGAAAGAAAAAAGATAGGATTCAAGGTGGTTAATGGCTACGTTGAAACATGATCTCCACAGCAACGCGGTTAAGAAATAATGCAGTTTTTGCCCTTGTGTCCCTTTTTCTTCTTGGATTTCGCTGTCCCCGGACCAAACTGCGGCGTGGGGAGCGCAGACGCTGGGCTGGACAGGTCGTCTGTGTAGTAGGCGTACCGCTGGGGCCGGGGCTGGGGGATGGGTTGTCCCAGAAAGTAGCCCTCTTCTTCGGAGTCGGAGGAGGAGGAGGAGGAGGAGCACCAGGAGTCGTCGTCCTCCCCGTAGAGGCCCAGGAAGCGGGGCGCGGGGCTCTGCAAGGCGTAGTCGGAGGTGGCGTGGGCGTGCCGGCCGAACAGGGCCGCGCTCTGCGCGTAGGCCTGGATCTCCCGCGCGCTCCTGCTCTGGATGAACTTCTCGTAGTTGTCGGGGGCGTAAAGCCGCAGCCTGGCCTTGGGCGAGTGCTTCCTCTCGGCCACCAGGTTCAGGGCGTTGTCGGAGCGCGACTTCCTGCTCCGCCGGCGGCGATGGTGGTGAGAGCGGGGCCCTCTCTCCTCAAAGTGGTAGACCCGTCTCCGCGTCCTCTCGCTCATGGGGGGCTGGCGGATTTCCAGGTTGTCGTAGCCTCCGTGGTCGATGACGTCGTCGGAGAACTTGACCTGCTGGGGCCTGGACTGAGACTTGGACCTCCGGAGCACGGGCAGGTGTACCGGCTTCTCCTCGGGCAGGATTTTTTCCGGACACAGCTCTGAGCTCAGACTCTTTAGGGACTCCGCACTCCGGTGCAGCATGGAGGAGTTCAGGGTCCCCATATTGCTCATCTTCTCGCAGTCTTCCGCCTCCATCTCCTCAAAGTTTTGCAGAGAATATAACGATGGCCTCGGCTTGCTCTCTCCATCCACTGAAGCCCCTACAAGAAAAGCCGGGGCAAGATGTGATTCTCGACAATCCTAATATTCTGACAATTGTTACAAACAAGCTACTGAAAGGAAGAATTTCAAAGAAAATTCTCTGACGTTTCAACGACTGAAGAATAGCCACGAAGTACAAACAACACGCATACAGAGAGAGGAGGTCTGAATTCCGTGACCGATACAAGGGGCATAGCCTCTCTTAGGAGTCCAGTTTCTGACCCAGATATTCCAGCACATGGCATGAACAGCAACAATTTAAAAGCTCTTCATAAAAGTCTCATCATGAATTTATTCACATGACGTGTCGGAATTCTGCCTCAATCCATTAAAGCCAGACCGCTTCACGAGAGCATCCCTCAGGTCAGTCCCCTCCTTTGCACCCACATGGCCACCACTGCTGTCTCCCTCTTACACCTAGACTAGCGTCCCTTATTTTATACTGAGATAGTGGTCGCAAACCACAGCCCAAGGGCCAGGCCCGGCCTGCAGCCTATTTGTAGATAGTTTTATGGACACAACCATAGCTACTCGGTTATGCATTATCTATGGTCGCTTTCTACGATGGCAGAGTTGAGACTGTATGGCCCCAAAGTCCTATCTAGCCCTTTACAGAAGTCTGCCAACCCCTCACCTACACTGTCATCCAGCCGTTTTCCCCTTCAACCCATAAAATGACATACTACTTCCAGGTTAATCTTACTTTGAAACTTTTCCCCAAACTGATATTGTTCTTTTTCATAGGGCCCAGGCAAGTGAAGATACATGAACACAGGCCAGCAGCCAGGAAGTGACTGTAAGCACCGTGTGACTGCTGTCTGGTGGGCACTACATAACTTCCTACTTTCTAGAGGGAGCCTGTGTTTCAGCCTGCATTGTCAAGGAACGTCCAGCCCTAACACTTCATGTGTACCAGATGATGTCTAGTTTTGTTTTGTTTTGTTTTTTATCCTCACCCGAGGACATTTTTCCATTTTTTGTTCAGGTAGAGTGGGAGGGAGAGAGAGGAAGGGAGGGAGAAAGGGAGAGAGAGGGAGAGAGAGGGAGGGAGGGAGGGGGAGAGAGAGGGGGGGAGAGAGAGGGAGAGAGAGAGAGAGAAACATAGATGCAAAAGGGACACATGGAGTGGCTGCCCCCCGCACGACCAACCAGGGCCGGGGACAAACTGCAACTGAGGTACATGCCCTTAGCGGGAACTGAACCCGGGTCTCTCTGGACCGCAGGCCAACGCTCTAACCGCTGAGCCAAACTGGCCAGGGCTGATATACAGTTTTTGACAAATGTTAAATGTAGGACCTAGAAGACAGGAGGTGCTTAATAATTTAGCCTCATCCACCACTATTCAATTCTCCTTTGACAAGTGCAACGGAAATCAGGAGGGTGGCTGTCTTACCCTCCTTGCCACCGTGGCACCTGGCACAGGGTGATCCTGGCAGTGGGACGCCGCTAAAGCCTTTCCTGTCTATTGCAGAAATGTCACCTTTATGAAAGGACTGGATGTCATTACTCTGACATGGTAAAATTAGTCATGTAACAGCAACATGTTTGCAAGTGTGAGATTCAGGAGGGCTGGGTTCTAGGCTGGGTCTTGTCTCTAAAGCCCTGGTCAAATTAGGTATTTAAGCCTCTAGTAATGCAAGTTTCCTTATTTAGAAAATGCAATAGTATCCACGCTATACAGCTCAGGATCATTTTAAGGATAAAATGTGGATAACTGATTAAAGTGAAATTATTTTATAATCTGGGTAAAAAAAAAAAAATTCAGCTATTTTTGAACTATCTATTGCCACAGGGCAGTTCAGGGAAATAAAAAAAAAATGTTGAACTTATAAAATGTGCAGACTGATTTTAATAACTTGAAATTCATACAGCACAATCCAAACAGTAGTATCTTCCAGACACAGAGGTAGACTCCGTTATCGAAATCAGTCAATACTTCCTCTGTAATGTAAGAGTGACAATACCTATTCAGAAAGAGTATGTGAAGAATATGACACACAACTTGCACATTTGTTCTGCTATAGTGTTTGGCACTGGACGGAATGCCTTCATTTTCTTGGTGTTCAGTTTTAATTAACTTAGCCTCTGCTGGTGCTAAACTGTAATTTTCTGAACAGACTTTTTAGTGGCTCTTTTTTCAAATACGGCACAATCCCTAGATTACGTACCTGTGATGTTAGACAAAGCCAAAGAATCCATTGAATCCCGAACGCTCTGCTCTGGTTTCAAGTCTGACAAGCACTCCAGGGAATCTTCATACCACTGTGTTTGATCATGATTGTACCCCGAAGCCCCATGGTCCAGATCCAACTCCTGGAGCCTCCTGCTGCTTGCCGGGCCTGGGTGGCTGCCATAAGCCGAATCTCCCAGTCCATCTTGTGACTGTGCCCAATACATATCAGATTGGTATTTTTTACTTGCGAGGCTCTGGTTATTTTGCTTCAACTCAGTCTTATTTTTAACCATGTTATCAGATATCCAATGCTCACTGGCTCGAATATCGATCTCACTGGGCTGCTGCTGAAAGAGGCTTTTATCGCCAAACTTGAGGAGGAGCTGCGTCATATAATCTTCATGCTCGGCCCATTCTTCGGGGTCTTCTGGGGTTTCGTGCTCTACTCTGCCTTTCCAAAAGTCTTCATTGACAAAACTTGCTCCCTGCCTCGAGAGACTCAGATCATCCAACTTCCGAGAAAGGGTGTCGTCGGCATTGCCTGAAAGGCCAGGAAACTTGTAGTTTAGAGCAGGGGACAAGAGGAGAGACTGTCGGCACTGATCTGCCGACCGGCTGCTCTTGCCCATCCGGACACTTCGTCTGGAGTCTCTGGACCGAGCGGACTGGAACGCAGAGTCGGAGGAGTCGGAGGCATGGACGTCTTCACCGAGGCTGCATGTCTTTGAGCAATAAATCTGACCTTGTTTGGGAAGGAAGGGACACCCCAGCAGAGAGGCTTTACACTGGGCACACGAGAAGCAGGCTTCTGTAGCATGCCAGTGCTGCCCGTCATAGGTCATCTGGGCATGGTCCACACCTGTTTTGAAAAAGGACAGAACAGGTATAGTCCATCTTGAAACAAAGGAAGAAGGAAGAAACAGAAAAAGGGGTGATAGAAATGTTCTGTTTCATGGTAGGGTTGTGGGCCACACAAATTCCTTATTTGCGGATTTGCCTACCAGCTAAAATGTATTTGAAACCCCAAAATCAGTACTTGCAGGGTTTTCAAGGTCATTTGTGGCCATGTGCAGAGTGGTGAACAATTTGAGTTGACCGACATGCGTGTCCCCAGGTGAGGTAAAGCAAGGTGATGCTGTGCCTTGGTTCAGCGCTTGTAGTTTAAACAAGTGGTTTATTTGTGGTCTATTTAGTACCATGTTTTCTTCAGATTTTTATGCTTTTTGTTGCTTTTGCTATTTAAATATTCCCCAAGCATAGTGCTGAAGTGCTGTCTAGTGATCCCAAGTACAAGGAGGCTGTGATACGCCTAACAGAAAAAATACGTGTGTTAGACAAGCCTCCTTCAGGTGTAAGTTACAGTGCTGTTGGCTGTGAGCTCAGTGTTAATGAACCAACAATATATGTAACCAGGGGCTGGCAGGAACCTGTCCCTGTATTTCCCCCCTAGGAGCAGTGGCTCAGAATTCCACAGACTGTAGAATGCACATTCCTCAAATAATTAGAATTGACTACATATTCATTTGTCAAAACTCATCAAATTGAAACATTTAAGATCTGCACATTTCACTGTATGTAAATTACACCTCAAAAAATTTTTTTTTAAAAAGACCATGGACCACCACGAACAGACTTGTGGGAGTGCGACGGAGCGGCCGGGCCGGGCCGCGGACTCACCGATGTGCTCCCCACAGGTCTCGCAGTACTCGGCGTACAGGGACTCGAAGCAGCCGCAGCAGAACGGGCGGCCGTCCTTCATGATGTACCGCTGCCCTCCCAGGACCGTCTCACACTCCAGGCAGCAGAAGTGTTTCATGTGCCAGTGGCGACCCTCAGCTTCTGTGCACTCGTCAGCAAAAATGATCTTCAAGAGGAATATGAAACACGGGATGACAGAAAATCCTTGTGGGCTGTTTCGGAGGCCAAGTCACTTGACTAACCTTGTTTTTAAAAGCCTTAAGCTTTCACCTAACTTGCTTCAGCACTCAAACGAGAGCAGTAGTTGAAAATGTGGAAAGAAACTAATTGCCTGTTTAAACTTTATAAATGTCTGACCACTATGCTGTACCGCCAAAACTAATGTAATATTGACTATCAATGGTAACTGGAAAAAAAAATCAAAACAGATTTCTTCATTGGGATAATTGATGTGGCCATTATTTTGCTCCCCAATCACATTTTATTGGCATAATCTGGCAAAGAAGACATTCACATCGAAATAACTGAGTGGTCTGTGTTTTAATAGAAAACTCATAAAGACGCCTGTGGAGTCAACAGTCACAGCAGTCCGCACCGCCGTGTGAGCAGCGCGTGTACAGCTGCCGCTCCGTCGGACCTGGTGGCCACCTCCAGATTAAAGACTTAACTTTTAAAGTTTTTGGTTTCAAAAAAAATTTCAAATACCACATCATTAAAAACAAAACAAAAAAACAAGTTTAACACGAAACGTATAAAATGTATAAAAGCGAAAACTGAACATTCACTGTTACTGAGGAAAGGAAACGGGAGAAACAAAGAACAAATGCCCTGTCGCCCCCCTGGACTGGATCTTGGAACAGAAAAGACACATTAGTAGAAAAACTGGACATCTAGATAAAGCGTGTAGTTTCGTTAATGGTGTCACTAGTGTTAACTGCTTGGTTTCGATGCATTCGCTCTGACCGTGTAAGATGTCAGCACAGGGAAAGCTGGGAGAAGGGTACACAGGAGCTCTGTGTACCATCTCCAGCTTTTCTGCCAATTGAAAATGAATTTAAAATAAAAAACTCAAGAAAAAAAACATCCCTTTCATACCACCATCCCTTCCCACATGCCCCATGGGTAACCACTGTTCACTTGGTGTGTATCTATCCATACCATTTCTGGATGTGCACAAATATGTGTATAATCTTGGTCTGTTTCCCCCCTTAACAAAAATCTGCTATATACTCTTCTTGCACCTTTTCTTCTCACCATCCATCAAGAACCTCCCACTTATTGCTATGCAAAGACACCTGCTGCCCACTCTTTACTAGCTACATCTTCCATTGTATGGATGTACAGGGTTATCTTAAAAATATACAAAACAAAGCAAAAGCAGGAGCTATTTCTATTTTGCTTAGATGTGCACAGTGGAATACTGGCTTATTGGAAGCTTATTTTTCCCAGTGTTACGAGATGAACTTTTTTACCTCATCACATGCGGAACACCGTGGTTTGAGCAGCTCAGCATGGTGCCTGCCGCAGTGAATTTTTCCATCCTGATAAAAATAGATGAGGTCGACCAGCAGCTCGTTACAGGTGAAGCACACAAAACAGGATGGGTGCCAGCATACTCCAGGGCCCGCCCGCGAGGCAAACACTGCAACCTCACCTCCGTTTATCTTCAACCCACACTGAAAACAAAAAGAATGATCCTTCTTCAAGGACTGGATTCTCGGCCTTTGCCACTTGCCACTAAATCTCAAATTTGTCAGGATCGCTTTTATCTCTCCCCCCTCCTGTGAGTGATTAAGCAGCACCTTAATGCTGGGTTACATGTGCCTCTCCAATGAAATGAACAGGCCTCAGACCAACGTCCACACTAACCTGTTTCTAAGAATGGTTTCATCTGACTCACAGTAAGCGTGGTTTTCCTGAGCCAGCCTTCTGCCGGATACTCTCCCCACAGTAAGAATGGCCAATGAGGCTCTGAATGTCTTCATGTTTGCACTTTTTCAACACTAGGTGTACTTAGCACCTCCCCCCCAGCCAGACCCTAGAAAGAGCAGGAGTCACCCGATGTTCACGTAAGGGCAGACCGACTCCCCGTCAGAGACAACAGTGTAGCCAGTTACAAACATTCATCTTCATCTAATAAAGACCTCGGCTGCCTTTCTTTCGCTGAGTCTCTGGAAGCCTTCGGAGCCCACAGGTGCTGCCCTGTCCCCCTCCCAGCTCACGCCATCCACACCGCCTCCACGGCTGCTCACTCTGGAAAGGGCTACCTGTTCGCACACGGCGTGCATCACGGCTCTGGACAGAAGTTTAATCGTTCCTCTTCCCAGGGCTTCTTTCTTCCGCTGGGCACTGAACACCTGCAGTTCTTTCTTCTCCTCTTCGCTCAGAGACTGGCAGTACCGCACCTTCGCGGGAAGGGAAACAGAGGCCTCACTGGAGCACCTGCCCCCACGAGTCTCCAGTTTAAAAAGAACACCATACCTTTCAGTGATACCAAACCTCTCCAGCAAAGGAGAAAAGCAATTTAAAAACACTTTAAAAAAAAAATGAAATGTTTAATTTAAACTCTTGTCAGCAGAGACTAAAAAAACTGTAAGATGTTAACTTTTCTACAAAAGGTTTAAACTAAACTTGTTAATTGCCACTTTGGCTCCACATTCTACAGGCACTCGACTGGACCGCGGGCAGAACTCCCATAAAGCCCAAGCCTGGGACCAGGGGCGGGCGGCCCGGGGAGCCTGCAGGCCCTGGCCATTGGTGGGTGGCTGCAAACACTGTAAAAACCAACTCGTGTGAAGTTTATTGCACTGACACCCTTTTCTCTCTTAAAGAATGGAGAGCTGTATTCTCCGGCCAAATTTTAACCGAAGAAAGGCAGGACAGCCAGCGCCAGTGAGGAGCTGGGGTTTATGGGGGACATCTCAATGCTTCGTGTTTATTTTTTTAGCCCTCTTCCTGTTATTTTACCTCATTATCATGTGGTGGCAACTGGTACAAAAGCTGTTTAATTCGATGTTTCTCTCCAGGGCTGTTCACATACGGGACCTTTTCCTCTGGTAAGCAAGCAAAATAGAGCTGGATCTGAGGAAGAGATGGCGAGAAGGACATCAGCATAAAGTGAACATCTCAGCTTCTTCCATCTCAGAAAGTTACCTTTCCCCATAGGTACGAGGCTTGGGCCCTGGCAGCTAATGCGAAGACCAGCTGAGCCAACTCAGCAGCACAGCTGACCTTCCGAGAGCGGACCTCCAGCTGCCAAACTGCTCTTCAGGAATGTAATTTGTTGTGACAATTAGGGCCGTCATAAATTACACACCATAAAACATGCACATTTAACGCCACAATTCCTCAACCAATCTCCCCGGGGTCAGCCAGGAGAGGGTCCTCGGTGAACGCTGCAAGGGGCCACACAGGCTGCCTGACACTGTCCCAAACCCGGCCAGCACACAAACACGCTGAATTTGATCTCTGAATGTTACAGTTACAAAGACAAAAGCTGTTTTGTTACACTCTGTAAACTCTCCCTTATCAGGTTCTCTCCAAGCGTCGGCTTTCTTTGCTTCCCTGGGTGTTATTTTCTAAATACTTGGAGTCAATTTCCCCAAAGAAACTGGAGGGGAGCCATATTGAGCTATAGTTGGTTCATTCTTAAAGGAAAGCTATTTTCTCCTGTTGTATTTAAAGGAACATAACACAGTGCTGAGAAAGAAGGAGAGGGATTCGGGAGAGACAGACAGGAAATGGGGGTTGGGGCCTGTCCACTTCAATATCTCAATATCTCACAAAACCCCCCTACCCTAAGCTGCAACAAGGGGTTCTTTATTGATAAACAGCTTTCCTAACTGGTGTTCCAGCACTCTCCCCTCTCCCCACTGTATCAGCTACCGCCGTTCTTACAGTTATAAACACTTACTGAATACACGTGTGCCAGGTAGTATGCTAGGCCCTAGGAGATGAAGGAGCCCCTATTCTCAAGAGAGTTCCCCTCATACAGGAAACAACCATAAGTCAAGCAACTGCATACCCAGTTGGCACCTTTTATTGCAAACGACGCCTCAGCCCTTACAATATTTATCACCTGCAATTTTTTTAACAAGTTTATCATTATAAGGACATTGGGAAAATAAAAATAGGCAGATAGGATGTTCTCATCTTCCTTAAAATAACAATACAAACGAAGCACAAAATCAGCTCTTCAGTTTTAATGTTCAAATCCATACTGTGTGGTGACATTCTTTTTTGTTTCGTTAATCCTCACCCGAGGCTATTTTTTTTCCCATTGATGTTTAGATGGGGTGGGGAGAGAAAGAAAGAGAAACATCAATGTGAGAGAGACACATCGACTGGCTGTCTCCTGTACACTCCCGAGCGGGGGCAGGGCTTGAACCTGTGACCCAGGTACATGCCCTTGACCAGGAACAGAGTCCTCGATCCTTCAGCGTAGGGGCTGACACTCTAACCAGTCAGCCACACCAGCCAGGGCAGTGACAGATTCTTTTATGTTCAAGGTTATCAAAGGTCAAACGTCTAAGCAATGACGCTTCAGATGGTTCCTTACAGCTCTGTATTTCCTCTCTCCCAATGCAAAAGCATTGCTGAGAGCTGGCACGGAAATTTTCCTCTTTTACTACATTTTTGTTACTGAGGTTTTTAAAAAGGTTAAATTCCTCTCATTCTCTGCAAAGGGACTCGTCAGAAATCCATATAGCAATTGCATATGCAGGACTCTGGATTTCATTCATTAGAGCATCCTTCTAGGACTTCTGGCCTGAACAGCCCAAAAGGGATAAAAAACTTTCACTGAGAAACTAAGGTATGATCTTAAAAAGCAGAACTGTAAAACCATCCAAAGAAGAGTGAGGACTGAGGAGATTAGCATGTCAGTGTGGCAGTAATGTTCTGTAATTTTTTTAAAGTTCTCTAAAAATCTTAAATCTCATGGAAAAACACAACACAGGATGAGTAGGTTCCCACCTGCTCTGGTCGAAGTCCTGGGGGCACCCAGGCGTACTCCTCCAACGCACAGCCAGAATCATCGTCTGATGTGGAACTTCTCTGGCACCCAAAGGCGAGCTTGCTCATCTTGGGCTCCATCTCCAAAGGCATAATACAGTTCACCACTGGTGTTCTCAGTCACAGGACATCAAACAATGGCTGCTGTGGACAACATAAGAAAAAATTAAAAACCTGAAGCTATTGCTCTTACCCTCCAAGAACTTTTATGGAATGCTTGTTTACACACCGCGGGGCCCTCGAAAGTTCCGTTTACTAGTTCACCAGCCCCAGCCCCCAGGCCCACTGAAACTTAAAATCTAGAGCTCCACACTTCAGAAACAGCCCCCTTTCCAGCTCAGCATTTCAGAGAATGCCACCAAAATTAGTTTAGTTACAGCTGCCCTTGAAAGGTGCTTCTCTACACGATAATTCATTGGAAAGGTTCAAGAAAATTGCTTTGCCCTGGCTGGTGCGGCTCAGTGGACTGACCATCGTTCCATGGACTGAGAGGTCCCAGTTTGATTCCCAGTCAGGGCACATGCCCAGGTTGCGGGCTCGATTCCCAGAGGGGGGTGTGCAGGAGTCATCTGATAGATGTTTCTCTCGCACATCGATGTTTCTATCTCTCCCTTCCTCTCTCTCTAAACAGAAAAATCAATAAAACTTATTTAAAGAAAACTGTTTTGCCTGACACATCAGATTAAATATCCCACAAATGTAATCCTGTGAAGTCCCGTGAGTTGAAGAAAGGGGGCAGGGCACCTCCTCCCGCCGTGCCCACTGTGTGCCATGAGAAATGGATCGAAACCCCTCGGCTCCCACATTTCCCCATTAGTCTTCCCTTCCAAGGCACGGCTGCCCGCAGAGTGGGTCCACTGGGCCCAGCTGCTTAGGTTTGTTTTAGGTGGCTAATGAAAGTCTTGAGACACTGCACTTAGTTTACTCATTGAGGAGAAACAGCACAGTTAAATCTGCAAGGCCTCACTATCGATGAGCTGCCCTCAGCCAGACATTCATTAAAGAGTTCCTTCAACAAACAGCAATTGTATCCATGCATGAGGTTAAAATAAACCCCCACCCTGGCCGGTACCAAAGGGTCTTGGGTTCAGTTCCGTTCAAGGGCATGTACCTGGGTTGCAGATTCAATCCCTGGCCCGGTCAGGGTCATGCAGGAGACAACCAATTGATGTCTCTCACATGGATGTTTCTCTCTCTTCCCCTCCCCCCCTCTTCCATTCTCTCTGAAAACCAATGGAAAGTTATCCTCAAATGAAGATTAACACATAAATAAATAAATAAATAAATAAATAACAACAAACCCCACCCCTGGCAACTATTAGTGATGAACTGCTGCATGAGCACTGTTGGTGACGAACTGCACTGTTACAGGTAGACACTGAAACGTTTTGCAGTACCTACTGTGTGCGAAATACTATCATATCAGCCTGCTATTGGGCAAATTGAGATGGAAGTCCAGGTCTTACGAAAGTCCCCTCAGATGAAGAGCTATTAGAGGTGTCAAGGGAACAGTCCCTGCCCTACTACCCAGGAACTTTGTCATCACCATTCATGTTCCTTAAAAGTTTCTTCTAATTTTTAAAAATCATCCTTCATCCCAAGGCCCTAAGAAGAATCAAAGATACAAGACTTTCAGAATCAGATGCAGCTTTTTATACCAAAAAAAGAAAATTACAGGTAATTAGCCCAACCCAATTTTAGAGAAAACAAGGCTCGCGGAAGTTAAGGGACTTGCCCAAGGGTCACACAGCTAAAGTAAGGCAGAGTCTGGTCACACTACGCGTCTGCCACATCAGGCTTCCAAAAAGTATTCTGCCTTAAAAAATCCCTTTGTTTGCTTAAACAAATAGGAAAAACCTAAACACTTTCAGCCCGAGACTAAGTTATTTTCCAGGGACTACCTCAATGCAACTCTAACTATTTACCATGTCAGAAAAGGTTACCTATTAAAACCTATGATTATCGAAAACGTCTACATCAAAGAACATGCAAAAATGCAAGCAGTAACAGTTCACAAGTGGAAGGCCAAACACCCAATGGCTGCGATCTGTACTAGAAGTGACACCACACAGTAGATATTATTCCAACTAATAACTTCAACTTTCATTCACCCTGAACAAAAAGTAAAGATGACCTCATTTCCTACACTACCAGTGGGAGGTTATGACCTTTAAAACAAACTCTCATTTCACACAGGTGCAACTCATTCATGTCTTGACTTAGGAAGTGCACTGCTTACTCCTCAATAAAAGAGAATGTGTTAATAACAGAACATTTCTTGGATTTAGTCTTTTGCTTTTGTTTAAAAAAAAAAAAGAAAGAAACACACACAAAGAAAAGCCAAACCAACAACTCCCATATGTTGAAGAAGAGAACCAGAGGTTAAGAATTTAATTAGTGACTCGAAAACCTCCACCAGGAGAAGGGGTGTGTTCAATGCAATTTAACCTGAATCATCAAATATACATATTTGTTCCTTCACAAATCTGGTTGAGGTGGAAGACTAAGGCACCTACTCTGCACACACTTAGAAAGAACATTCATATTAAACAGAACTTAAAAATTAGATGTCACGATTTTATAAAACAAGAGAAAATGCCACCAATGAAGACAAACCCTGGATTTCCCAAGGTCGCACAAAGGTGTAGACTGCTGAAGATCCAAGTTCCTTTTACAGCTGTATTCCTCAGGTAGCCCTTTGTGAGACATGTACAGTAAATGACTGTCCCAATCAAGGTGAACCACCTCGGCACTGAAGGCCACACCGCCCACCTGCCTGTCACCTGAAGTGCCAGCCACGGCTCAGGCCTCCAACCTGCACACATTCCTTCCGGCCTCTCCACAACCTAGACTGAGGACCTCAGTCCTCAACAGTGTGGCCAGAACAACGGAAGGAACCTGAGTGACAGTCGCTTCACCGTAGGCGCCGCTTGCAGTTTCATGTGTTGGCACTCAGACAACGAACACGGTCCTCCGGGCCTCGCCCGTTAGTGTGATGGCATTTAATCACCGCCTCCAGCAACCCAATCAGGGTGTATCTTGTTTAACAGAGGAGACAGCCTCAGAGTGATCTGCCACAGGTCAACTGTCCGAGGTCAGCAAGGTAACTCGCAGCGCCCTCAGAACTGGCCTGTGATCCTAAACCCCGACAGCTCCACGCTGCCCCCTGAAGGTGGAGCCTGATCACACCACTTTCCCTTCTTTGGTGAACTAGCCACCAGACTGCACTGCAGGTCATAGGACATAACTGGAGGGGCGTCCACTCTGCCCAGAGAAGGCATTTTAGGGAGAAGATGGTTAAAGGGCTTATAACAATGCAATGGCCTCATGGGTTGCTGCTTCAGAGTTTATTCTTTGGAGAAAGCCTCTTTCTTTGTCCTTTATATCAGAGGATAATTACATAAAATGACAAAACATTACATTCAGTAGGAAGTTCTCAGAGCTGACCATAAAATAAACATTAGAAAAACAGAAGTTTTAAAGCGTGACCTCCACTTACCAGGTTGCAATAAAACATGAGATTCTACTAGCTACTGTTGTTCTTCACCTGATAACAAAAAAAAAACACTTGAATTTGGATTACTTTTTTTCTTTTTTTAAATGGCTTGTACTTGCCAGTGGACCCAGAGTCGATCTGAAGGCATCATTGCCTCCTACTGCACTGTATGAACGCAGCTCACTGCTGGGCTTGTTCTTGTACTTGCAAAAGGTTACAGTAATAAAAATAAATAAAACTATGATCTCATAGCCCGGTCAGTGTGGCTCAGTGGTTGAGCATCAGCCCATGCCCCAAGAGGTCACCAGTTTGATTCCCAGTCAGGTTGTGGGCCCGATCCCCAGTGAGGGGCATGCAGGAGGCGGCCAATCAATGTTCTCTCTCATTGATGTTTCTCTCCTAAAACCAATAAAGAAAAAAAATATATGATCTCATAAACATCCCTTATGTAGGCATTTACATTACTGTATGGCATTTGCGTTGACAGCACCAAAGGAGAGGAAGCTGACCACTACTTATGCTCTGGTCATGATGAAGGGCCTTCCTACTGACTTGTAAATGTGACTGTGTGTGGTCTGCCAAAATACCTCCTCTTAGGCCAAACATGAAACCATGGGTGAATTAAATCTGATTAACCAATTCCATTCATTTCATTTCCAGGTGTTGTCTCGTAAGGTTAATCATGTGAAAGGGAAATAAATCAGGTTTACAAATGGAGTGATGATACAGGGTGAAACATTTGTTCAAGTTGTTTCCCCTCACCCCCCAGATGGCTTGGTCCTGGGCCCCTGTCCTTTATTTACTTTGTATTTTATTTATTTTTTAAAATAATTTTTATTTTGCTGTAACTTCAAACTTCAGAAAAGCTGCAAGAGCAAGCAAGTCCCACACAGCCTTTACATTTCGCTTCATCTGCTTTATCACCCTTTCCCCGCTAGCACGAACACACACACACTATTTGAAGGTGGGTGTTTCTTACATTCTCTTACCTAACCACAGTTCAAACATAGCTATGTTTGTTTTGTTTATTTATTGTTAATCCTCACTCGAGGATATTCTTCCATTATTTTAGATGGAGTGGAGGGGCGGGGGGCGGAGAGAAAGAAATATCTATGTGAAAGAGACACATCGACTAGGTTGCCTCCCACACGACCCCGACCCTGGACTGGGATTGAACCCGTGACCCTTCGGTGTGCAGGCCAACGCTCTAACTGCTGGGACAAATGGGCCAGGGCAGAACATTTTTGTTTAAAAAACAAACAATGTGCAAAGCATCATGTTAGATGGTGGAGAGAAACTGAATAAAAAGCCCAAATAGTTCAAACCGTAAGTATTCTGTGATTATGGGGAGCCAGGTTTATTATCTTGGTCTTGAAATGCTGTAATAAGCTAGATGAACTTAATCAGACATGAATGACAATTATGCTTTAACCAGTTCTGTACCAGGTCTGTCCTTGCTAAGGAAATGAGTCAGTAAGGGCCCCACCTCTCCACTATCTCTTTATAATTCTGGAGGTCAGTCAGTCTTATAATTCAGGGAAAACAAGTAAAAGTTTTCAGGGTTGAGTTTGTTCATGGTTCCAGAGTCTGACCATTAGGGAAATGTGAGAGGAAGCAACACCTTTAAGATGGAACACCACCAACAGAGATGGCACTGAGGTCAAGCACAAAGAGCAGGTAATTGAATTAAATGCAAGGAAGTTATGGTATTGCAGGTACTATTTTGAAGAGAAGACTAAAAGCCAACCACAGGAGTCAAAGGAGAGAAATGAAACAGAACGGAGAGTGGACACAGGGGAGGAGAGAAAGAAGTCTGAGGTTGGGTAGAGATGAGACACTCTCTTCTTAGAAAGACAAGGATTATCGTGGGAGTAACTTCATGCCAGTCACACAACACAGAGTAGAACCATTTCCCTTCTTTGTCCTTTTTCTTCCTTCTTCTTCAAAACAGTTCAAGAGCTACTTCTTTCCATTTAAAAAGACCAGAGACAAACAGCTCTCAGATGTAGGACTTCTCCATCATCATAATTGTCAAGAGAACATCTGACCCAAGGGAAGAGCAATCCTCAGCCCTGAAGTCTTCATGCCTTTGACAAACCACCAAACATCTTGGGACCTGATTCTTTAAAAATAGCAACAATTTTCTTTCCAAAGATGGTCTAAGGATATAAAAGAGCTTTAAAGAAGAAAAATGAATACAAAGAATTAAAGTCACTATTGATGTGTACCACTTGGCATTGTTAACTTCCACTGTGACTACACAGAGTTCCTTGAAGCTGCTCAGCAACATCTGGAATAAGAACAACATGTTAATAGAAAAGACCGAATGTTGACATGTGAACATGTGAGTTTCATTTTTTTTTTTTTTTTTAAGTTTGGGAGGGCTATTGCTTCCTGTGGAGCAAATAATTTTGCTGAACTATTGGCTACTATTCCCAGCTCCCTTGAAGTCAGCTTCTAACCAATCCCTCCATACAATTTCTAACACCAGTACACACAGTGCATATGCAAGCACACGCAAACACATGCAGGCACGTGCACACATATGCAGGCACACAGCATGTATAATGGTCTACAGAGCATGGCAGGCTCTTTCCAGCTGTCTTAGGTAAAGCAACAACTGTAAGTTCCCAGCATATGCTTGGTTGTGAGGTAGTACTTGTTATCCCAATTAGAGTACGGTTTCATTCATGATGCAATGAGAGGTTTCTTATAAAATGTACTGTCTAGATGCATTTCCTTTTCTCTCTCTCCTTCCTTCCTTCCTTCCTTCCTTCCTTCCTTCCTTCCTTCCATCCATCCATCCATCCATCCATCCATCTTTAAAGACCATTACTGAATGGTCTGGGAAATATCAGAAAGAAGGCAACTGACATCTATTCCATTAAAAGCCAGAACTTAAAAAAAAAAGTATCCATTGTGATGAGAATGTTTCCAAATTCCATTATACATCCTCTTGCTTTCTTTAGTGGTGGTATGTGTGTAAATTATATGTGATTTAGCCTTTGGCTGATCATTTGTTTTCACGTTGAGTAGAAAAGGAACAGTAGAAAGAACACTGGCTTCAGGATTCAAGAACAGAAATTCTAATCCAGCCATCCAACTAGGTGTGACCTGAGAACGTAGTTCCTCGCCTAGAATACAGGCAGGTTCAAGGGCTACCTCACAATGTAGAGCTGATGGGCAGAAGGGCGTGGCCCTGTGACAAAGATGGTTGGCAAATTTTTAGAGGCTTTTTTCCTCTCCCTGCTCTCATAATGTTTGGATTCCTGCTACTTGAGTCTTTTCTCAAATAAGAAACCTTTTCCCTTTGCCCACAACCAACAACCTCCAAATCTTTTAAAATGTGTTCCTTTCAATATTCTGTAAATTAGGCAACTATTCTTTGAAAAAGTTTGTCTGAAAGTATATACAATAATTATGCTGTGGGCAAGGGCACAGGCATTCCTCCCATGAGCACAGTAATCACTGGTTAAATAAGATAACATACAGTATGTGAAGGTGTTCTTCTAATTAAAAAGCAGCTTTATTATTTTGCGATGCTATTTTGGTCATTTGGAGACAATTTATTTTCTAGTGAGCTGTGTGCTGCATCCGGGATAGCTGAGGATTATTATTTTGACTGCCCTTGACATATATATATAAAATGAAGCCTTTACTATTTTTCCCTAAAAGGCTTAATAAGTCAGCACAGCCCTGGCCAGTTTGGCTCAGCAGTTAGAGCGTCAGCCTGCAGACCTGGGAGTCCCGGGTTCGGTTCCCACTAAGGACATGTACCTCGATTGTGGTTTGTCCCCAGTCCCAGTTGGGGTCGTGTGGGTGGAAGCCACTCAATGTGTCTCTCTCACATTAATGTTTCTCTCTCTTTCTTCCTCCCTTCTCTCCCTCCCGCCCTATCTGAAGATAAATACAAAAATGTCCTCGAGTGAGGATAAAAAAATAAAGAAGTCAACACAGTGTATGAAGGTCCAGAGGCAGTACAGAGTTGACAGTTTCACTGAATGACAGATTCTCCCAAAGCAGCAACAATAGACAGCAATGGCTACACTGAATAACATTTTCCTTCTTTTAAAACAAACAAAAAAAAAATGTTTTTTCTTTTATTGATTTGAGAGAGAGGAAGTGAAAGGGAGAGAGAAAGGTAGAAACATCGATGAGAGAGAACATCGACTGGCCGCCTCCTGCAAACCCCCCACTGGGGATTTGGCCCACAACCTGGGCATGTGCCCTGACCGGGAATCGAACTGGCGACCTCTTGGTACAAGGTCAACGCTCAACCACTGAGCCACACCGGCTGGACTAACATTTCCAAGTAGTGCACATCAGGCAGAAGACTCTGCAGTCAATCCTACAGGAAATGGGAAAGGACCAAAGGCATGTGGGAAGGAGGGTGCCACTCCTGGTCTTAAGGAGAACTGACAGGACAGGAAAGAGAAAGGGAACCTGCGAAGAGCCTATTAGCCCATTAACACCGAGAGGGCCTAACCATGGTGGCCTGGGGAGAGAAGTAAAAGGAACCAATAGAAAGGGAGAAACTGGCTCAAAGATAGTTTTGCGTCTGAGGTGACTGAAAGACTATGATATACCAATATGGATATAGTCCACAGGCAAGTCAGATGGAGAGATGGTTTGAGGAGAATGAATTCAATCAGACACACATTGAGGTGACAACTGTACATCAGTTCTGGTATGGTTCCTATATCATTCGTCACTGTCCTGGATCAAGTCACCAAATCAAACCAAAATCATGTAAACAGAAAACAAAATAATTTTCAGTGGCTGCCACTATAAATGAAGTCAAAGGGCATACTCCTGAGTACAGATACTTTCCCCAATGTAATCACACTCTTGTTCCTACTGTGAAGACTCCCCTGGCATGGTAAGATCCCGATGAATAAGCAATTCTCAGGTGAACATGCCCAGGGGACTCAGAAGTCCTTTGATCATCGCAAACCAGAGCAGATACTGATTTGTGAAGTCAGTTGGGTTAACATTCCCTAGGTGTCCCCTGCTGTTAAGTGCCATCAGTGGACCACAAACTGCTTAACAACTTCTTTGTTAAACTGCTTGTTAACAAGAAGGTGCAGATCACACATACCCAATCAAGTTCCTCTACTTCTAGGCCAAATATGCAGGTGCATTGAACTTAACTACAGACTAATTTGGTAGTACAGAAACCTGTAACGCTTCCATTCTTCTCAATACACAAAATATAACCCTTATTTCCTTGTTTAGGATGTCCCTAACTTCAAACTCAAAATAAATAAATAAAAGCCTGAGACCTATAAAAGCCCTAGGTTAGCAAAATGAGTACAATCAAAATTTAAATTTCACAGTAAAGAGACACTAAACTGTTATTTCTTTCAAGTTTTCACACATCCAAAGAGCACTCTGCTAAAGACAAAAGTCACTGCTAACAGCATAATCCAATTTTGCTTATGTTGAAATGAACTGTAAAGATAACTGTAATAAAAAGTAAATACATTTTCTAGAGAAAATTAAAAATAACATAATGACTGGATCTGAAGATATTGCTTACAAAACATTCCTTTACTATGAAACTACTTTGTACTTGCATGTAGTGGCATTAGGCCATGTGCCCTTTGGCATTTTCTGTATTTTCCAGGTAAACTTCCATCCAACTTGTACATTTTTCCAGCAACTGAGTGGCCTGTCATGTACCATCTGATTGCCAAGAAGCTATCCATTTTTCCAAGAGGAAATGTGGGCTCTGCAGGGCTTCCAGCATTCTGATTTCATGCACAAATACATTCCACGACAGTAAGACAGACTGCTTAACAAAAGGAGGAAACATGATGACAAAGCGTGGTCCTTTGCCAGAGCGACGCTTCAGGGGTCAGGTTATTTGGCTGTAAACCGGTATATAAAGACAAAACACAAAACGCATGCTGTGGTATGAGGCGCACCACGCACGGCACTGTTCCAATGAACTCATTATTTTTCCATAATGGGGAACGCAGGTCTTTTCTCAAAATCGTGTTCCAGTCTCCTATTGATTTTCTGAATTTCTATTTTCAACCGCGGCCCAAGGAAACGGCAGCCAGACTTGACTCCAATGTACACAGAGACTCGGGTTTCACCCTGTCACCTGTTGGCTCCTGAACAACACTCCTCTTTGTGAAACTTACAGCACTCATTTGAAACAAGTTTCCAGAGAAAACACTTCAAGAAAGTGTTTGAGAAGTCACAAGACTCGAATTGTAAAAACAAATTCCACACATAGCCTGGTTTGTACTGACACAGATTAATGTGAAAACCCGAGCTTTTGAAAAAGGGGGTGGGGAAGGGGGCCGGAGGGAAAGGATGTCACCTTTCTTCGGGTAAATTCAGCGCGGCCGTCGAGGATCCGCTGGGTCAACCCAAAGCCCGCCTCAGAAGAGACACAGGAGCAGGCGCAAGCGCCCCCTGCGCCCCGCAATCCCTGCCCTCCGTGCGGCGGTGGCCGCCAGGGCCGCCAGGGGGCGCCTTGGGCCGCGGGTCGCATCGGTCCCCGACCCCCTCTCGGTTTCCCCGGCCTTCCGCACCCAGGGGCCAAGCGCAAGACCCACCGATGGGAGCGAACCTGTCCCCCGCGCCGACGCGAGGTCCACCGAGAAGAGTCCCCCCCACCCCCGGTCTCCGGGGACAGAGTCGCCTTCGAACCCCCTACCCACCTCCAGAAGAAAGCCTCGCGCCGTCTCTCGGCGAAACGTCACCTCCAAGGACGAGACACCCCGCGAACGGACAGCGGTGCCGAGTGGCCCCACGTCTATCTCCCAACTTCCGACGAGAAGCCCCCTCCCCGGGGCGCCACGGACGCGCGCCCCTGCAGACCTCGGCGTTCAGCCCCGCCGCCCGACCGCCATCAAGCCCCGGGGCTCAGGCAGCGGCTCCCACCTGCGGCCGCGGGCAGGGGGCCGAGTGCGGCCTGCAGCCCCTCCGGCCGGACCCCCGCGGGGCCCCTCGGCGCGCACTGGCCGCCCACCCGCTCTGCGACCCGCCGAGGCTGGCGGCCGCGCGCGGTGCCTCCCGAAGGAAAACAGGGCTGGGCGCCCTCCGGGTCACCCTCGCCCACCCATCTCCGGAGGAGACCCCAGCAGCGCGGGGACGGCGGGGCCGGAGCAGCGAGCGCCGGGCCCCCATGAAACCGCAGCGGGCCGCACGCCCTGTCTGAGCGCAGCGCTGGCCCCGCCCGGCGGGCGAGGGGTCGCCCCCGCCCCGCCGTGACGCACTCTCCCAGGCCTGTCCTCGCCGAGCCCACTTTCGGTGCGACGCGGTGGTTCTCACCCCTGCGGCCCCCAACCGACCGTGGGGGTCGGCAAAAGGTCCGCCGGCTCTGCCGAGACCCTCTGTCCCCGCCGGGGTCGCTGACTCTGCTCCCTGTGTTAGAGTCGCCTCGTTCGGGCCACCGCATCCCCCACGCCCCAGCTCTGCGTCTCCCCAGGATCCTCCACCGCGGAGAGACAAACCCCGTCTCTACTCCGCTCCGGAAGCCCGCCTGGGACCGTCCTTCAAAAGTAACCAGAGCCCGCATTAAAAAAAAGTAACCGTTTCGCTTCCTGCTGCTCCCACCTTCGGCGGAGCGCGGCGGGCCGGCCGCCCCACTCGCGATGCCAGCCGGGCTCGGTTCCCCGCTCCGGTCCGCAGGAGGCGCCTGCCCAAGCTGATCTCGCCGCCTCCCTCTTTCCAGGAACTGTCACTGCTGACCATGCCCCTGGCAGGTCTCCACGAGGTCCTGCGAGCACGTTATTCCTCGAAAAGCTACCCACCCACTTGGCCAGCCTCGCGGCTCCAGCACCTACCTTCGTCCACCCGCTCCATTGCCGCGAGCCCCAGTGAGTGGAGCAGCCGCGAGGCGAATACCCAAGACGCTTATGTAAACTTCCCCCTCCCGCAGGTGCACGCGCGGACCACAAAGCTCTGGGAGAATATGCAAAACCACCTCTTAAAGAAATCATCTCCACTCTACCCATAACAATGATGTCAGCAAATGGCACGTTTAACCAAGTTCTCCCTTGGAAGGGCTCATTAACATATGAATTCTCTCCGTAGGACTTTTCTTGCATTTCGAAGTGATTCCTACTGCTTGGCGCAGGAGATTTATTTTTATCAGTAAATAACAACAAAAGAAAAGGAGCCAGGTCACGGGATGCACTTAATCAAGTACAGGAATAAGAGTTTTCATAAGTAGGTTAAGTGAATATCATTATTCAAACCCAAGAACATGCCCCATACTTGAGGGTAATCTTGTTTCTGAGCTATTTCTAGGTACACTAAGAGAAAGTGAAGCGTGGCATTAGGTGTCCACAGAAAGGACTAAGAAAAGCAAAAACGGAACCATAAAGCAAGCTCAGAAAGAAATGACAGATTAATATCTGCAGCAGAGTGAATCTCTTCTGAACTACGAATTTTAATTTCTGCAATACCCTCCTTATCACATGGTAATAAAATGCTAAGGGAATGGAGAGAAACGTAGGCAATATTTAAGAGCTTTGCCATTTTATAAAAGGCTAGCAAAAAAAAGCAACTTAAAATGGTCAAATTTCTTTAGTATCCTACTTTTATTTTTGGTTAAGTAAAAGAAATTCTTGTACCATCAGGATTCCTTGGCAGTGGTTTGCAACATACATGTTTCTACAGAATACAACTGAACAATACTCCATTGTAGCTGTGATTTAAAAATACACAAGTCGCCATAAATAGAGCAGTCAAGTAAATAACTCTGGCCAATTTCTGTTATCTCCAGCGCTAAGCAAGGCAGCCGGAGAAGAGAAGTTGCTTGTTTTGTTTTGTTACTTTTATAGTGACAGAAACAAACAAACAAATGTTGTAGCTCTACTGGTAGGCTAGTTTGGAAACATTGATTGAGATAACAGGATTTGGAATTCAAATTGACTCTCTGTTGGGCAGTATAGATTCTAGTTTTGAAGGCAGTTCCCAAACAGCTCTAAGATAGAGATCCTCTAGCCTTCCGGTGGTGTGGGGATTTGTGGGAGGGCGGGGAGGGGACTTCAAAGGTCCTCTGTGGAGCTGTGAAATTAACCATGAATACCTAGGCTACATTTCCTTTTTCCTATTCCATTCTGTTTGGGCTTCCTAAGGGAAGTCATCAAGTAACAGTATCTATTGGACAAATGTGCAATCAGTTATTGATTTAAATCAAACCCTAAACGATCATGTCATTATGAGAAAGAGGGTCAGCACACGATGCTTTAAGCCAGGTGGATCCTTTTTGAAACAGCTTTTAAAGGAGAGCTACACACAGTAGCCAAGACCACAGAACCTTCCCAACTACAAACCATAGCAACACTTATCAGTATTAAATGCCAGCCATTGTAAGTGTGCCTCCTCAAACTCAGTGACTTACAAACACTGTTTATTACATTTTCAACAGGTGCTGTCAGCTTTATTGTTTTTGTCACTGTTTTCAGTGATGAAGCAGTTTAGAGAGAGTTAAAAGATTCCAGCTAATGTTCAATCTGAATGCAACAGCCTATATAGTCTGGTCTGAAAGGCATTGTTTTTGTCAAGGGTGAACTTACAGGATGGAAAGCAAGGACCCCCACCAGCACCTTTTTGTTTCAGCCAGGTGGGAATATTCATTGCTTGCAGATCACACTTGAAGGGAGGCTGGGAAAGGAAGCCCAGAAAGTCACAGGACTTGGTTCCCTCACCCCATCCTGGTCTCTGCTCTATCACCTTCTCAGAGAGGCCTTCTCCACCCCCCTCAATCCCAGATATTACCCCTCCCTTTTGTCCCTGGTTCATCTTCAGAGCAGTGAGCTTTGCTTGTCTATTCATGTTTGCTGTCTCTCTCCTCTGCTGGAAGATGGGGACTTTGGAGATTCGCTCCTGTATTCTCAGCACCTAAAATCATGCCAGCCACGTAGCAGACAAGTTCAATTAACATGAGTTAAATGAATGATTTTTGGACATCCTTCTCAGGCTCTCAGAGAGCTATACCATACCTGTACAGGTAACTCCGTTTCTAATCTAAACCCAGACCGAACTGCAACGTCCTATGGAAGGAGACTATGATTAAAAAAACACACACAAAAATGCCAAGGGCATTTGTTTGTCAAATGCCAGCTAGCTCTGTTGGGTCTGGAAGAAAGAGATAAAGTACAAAATATATAAAGCAAACCTGGTGCTATTCCTTGGTTCTCCTGTGATTTGTATATAGTGACCTTGAGGTCTTGTCTGCTCCATGCCTGTTTTTTCATGTGTAAAACAGACCTGCTTTCTGCTTTCTAGTTTTAAGAGTCAGAGTTGCTCTTGGTCTCAGACATGTGAAAGGATTTGTAACTAATTGCCAGCAATCTAGGAAGAGTCTATTTAAATGACTGGATGTCACGAAGTTTCTTAATAGAAAAGAAAGATCAAGGACTCTAATGTATTCATCGAATGACATCTCACTCACCGAGTCTGAGGGGCAGTCGGCGTATATAATGTGACAGTTTTAGTCTACAGTGAGGTGAGGGCATAGTCTAGGACATCAGTTTGGTTGTTCTGACCTTGGGTTGTTCTAACTATGTAGAGATAGGTGACTGAGAAGTGCAAGTAACACCTGTAGGTAGGATGTAATCTCTAATTAAAATGACTTTAAAATTTTTTAAAATCACAATATCATACAATCTTAGAGTTGCCAACAATCTACATCTTGTCCATATAAAGAAATAAGATCCAGCCCTGGCCGGTTTGGCTCAGCGGTTAGAGCATCACTGTGCGGTCCAGAGAGACCCGGGTTCGGTTCCCGCTAAGGGCACATATCTCGGTTGCAGTTTGTCCCCAGTCCTGGTTGGATTGTGCGGGTGGCAACCACTCGATGTGTCTCTTTCACGTCGATGTTTCTCTCTCTCTCTTCCTCTCTCTCCCTCCCACTCTATCTGAACAAAAAATGGAAAATTGTCCTTGAGTGAGGATAAAAAAAAGAGAAAGATCCAGAGGATTAATTGTAATGATTCTTTATACTTGTCAAATTTTTACCACAGTTTATGTAAAATGCTTTCCTTTCATGTTAATTTTAAACATTTCTGATGAGCCTCAGATTGAGCCCTATACCCGACGGGTCACTGGACATTTGTAAATTCTAGCTGCCATTATCCAAGTCTGTAGCACCCCCAGGGAAGGGCCCCCAGGCAGGTATCAGCTCCTCCAGGAGTTAACAGGCATTATGGTGTTTTATAATAGGTTGCAGTTTCTCTAGGTCTCCAATTACTTTCTTTCCCCTTTGATTATATTTAAAGCAATGTGATTAGAGAGTACTGGTTCTTTTTCTACACCCAATCCCTCTTTAGATTTACTACTCCAACCCTTCCTCCCCACTCCAACCAATTCTGTGAGGGAAGCAAATCCTCCCTGATGCTTTGGGTTTGGATTTAGACCCAATTACCAGCTCTGTGACTCTGGGATAACTCCCTTCTCTAAGGTATTCATTTCTAAAACTGAAATGGGCTAGGTCAACGGTTAGAACTTCTGAGGGGAAACGCAGTCCATATCACCACTAGAATAGTAATCTTCATATAGGGACGGGTGACAGTGACACTGCCCTGTTGAAGCTCTGGGGGGAGGGGGGGGCGGTTCTCGAAGCCCCTCCCGCTACTACCTTCTCCTTCCACCCCCATCTTCCCACGTGGCTCTTCTGCCGGAACTACATGCTGCCAGAGGCGCCACCAGTTCTGATGTTTCCTGAGGCTTTGACAACTCAACAGCTGGTTATGACACTGTGTCAGAGAAGTGTTTCCGGCTCTGTTGAGTCTGCAGCCCAGGCTGGGAATGGTCTTTTCACTGAACTCTTGTTCAGGGTTATAACTTCTCGTATCCATCCACAGCCACCTTTGCCCACCTCACCCCTCTGTGCCAAATGTTTTTGGAAGACCCGGTGTCCACCCAGGAGATGTGTGTTCTTTACATACACAATTAAACTAGCGTTCAAGCATCTTGACTTCAAGTTCTTCAACTTTTCTCAACTCCTGTAGAGATCTGTGGTTTAACACACACATTCTTAAGACTACACTACTGAAAAACTGCCAAAATGTTAAGAAATGAATAAATCTTCCAATTAAATTCGAGGATCTATATATAAAGACATATGCAAGATACATTAAGATATAAAATATATAGCACGATCACATTGTTATAACTAATAATATATAGGCTAGTATACACAGTAAAACTACTTAGAGGAATATTAATAGTAAACTATTAATACAGTTTCTAGGGGAAGGCAGATTATAGAAAACTAGTACTTTTGAATTTATATTTGTAAAATAAATGTACTTTTCATATCATTTATAACCTTTTTATTTATTTATTTATTTTATTTTTTTTAATCCTCACCCGAGGACATTT